AGAAAATGATGAACCATGCCTAAGGGTTGCTAGCCTGGCAGGTGCCTGGCTGTCTCAGGGAGAGCTCTTTAGCTGGCATGGGGCAAGGTACCTGGAGATATAACAACTAGCTTCCTATACACAGAGTTTCACAAGTTCAAGGGAAGACATTACAAACGCAGAGTCTCTTAGCGAAGGAAGAACAAGGAAATGATTTAACATTTCTCTCTATACATTAAATGTCATATATCATCTGTGTCCACAGGCTCTGCCCTCACATGGGCTCCCTGCTCCAGACACTGTTAGGAGACCAGCAAAGCTGCCTGGCAGCCCAGCCCGGGCAGATTGTACCTCCCAAGGGTCCTGCCCTCTCAGCTCTGGTCACAGCCTTTCGGGCAGCATGTCCCCTGGCCCAGGGGCTGCTTAGGTTGGTGCGAGGCCTGGGGTGTGGCCCATTCACTCCGGGAATGGAGGCGGGCTCCCATGCCCCAGAGCTGCTTGCTTGCACCGCTGTTGTTCTTGGCGCTGACAGGCTGCTGGGCCAGCAGGCTCAAGAGATATGCCAAGTGCGGAGCAAGCTGCCCGCTGCCCCGTCCTCTGCCTCGCCCCAAGTGGCTGTATGCTGAGTCAAGTGCTGGGCTGCCTGGTGAGACCCAAGCCCAGACTGGCTCCCTCCTGCCCAGCCACACGTGGGGCTGCAGCAGCGAGCGGCGCTTCTGCAAGGCAGGCAAGGAGACGCCCGGCAGCACTGACCTGAGTGGCCCGGGCCCCCTTTGCCTGGCACTGTAGCCTTGCCCTTCCTCCCCCACACGCTTGGAGCACCAGCTTCCTGCTGTGGGGAGTGAAGGGGTGGAGGGAGAAAAAGCCCCTAGTCTCCCTGCATGGGGAAGAAGCGCTCCCCCTCCTGGGCTGGGGGAATAGCAGTGCACTGTCTGTAGGCCTTCCCTCTGCTCCCCCACTGCCCAGATCCCCAATGCACCCCAGCCCCCTCACTCACCTCCCTGCTGAGACCCCACAGCCCCAGCCTCTCCTGCCTTCTCCCCGTGGCCGGACACCTTACTCCCAGCCCGCTCCTGGCCAGACACGTATCTTCACCCTGCTCCTGCCCCCTCCGTCCTGGTCACACTCCAACCCCCGTCTGCTCCTACTCCACATCCGAAGCCCATCCCTCACCTCCCCCACCGAGACCCCACACCTCACGCCTGCTCCTGAACCCTACCTTCCACCCAGACCTCATATCCTCATATATACCCTCCTACATCCAGACCAGATCCTGCACCCCCATCCCTATCTCACCCACAGTCAGCCATGTCCCACACACTGAAACCCTCATTTTTGGTACCACCCTAGAGCCCAGGGGCCTACAAAATCCACTAACCTTGGAACCCCAGAAGAATTAATCTGCCCTAAGGCCTTGAACCTCAGTCATCTTACTCCCTCCCATGGTACTGGAGCACCAGGGGAATTAGGTGTTTCATGTTGGGGGCCACATCAGTTAGGGCTGGGTTTTTTTGGAGGGGCTCATTTTTCCTTCTCATTTGTGGAAGGAATTCTTCCAATTTTTCTTGTGGATCTGTGACTCCCGACCCAAAATAGGTTCCCCACCCCGACATAAATAAAAACAACGTTGAAACCTTTTGTGTTGGACATAATATTTTACTTTATTTAAAATGAAGCCTGGCCAACAAGGCCCCAGTTGGGTCCCAACTCCCATCTGGAGGCAGAAAGGGCTGGTGATAGCCCCTCTCCTGCTGCGGCACGGGTAGGAGGAGAGGCCACAATCTGCCTGCGGCAGATGGGGGAAGGAGGAGTGGGAGGGGGAGAGTTGGCGAGTGTAGTGAGCAGGGGGCCCAGCCTCCTAGTAAATAAAAAAATAAGATTCTAATCATAAAGATCCCCACAAATATCATGGTCATTTACGTGTCTGATAAAGACAGATTACTTAAGTGCCATTGGATTCAGTTCAGATCTTTAACGACTCCAGCCTGCTGGTGCTAGCTCTTACATCAGACCTTAGCTTTACATCGCAGTCCTTTGTCCGGCTCAGACTCGGACAACACTACTAGTTTATAAGACTTTACGTTGTGTAACATGTATAGGCCATTAAAAGACTACAGATCTTTTGTGGATCCTTAGAACTGTGTATTCAATGGAATGTTGCCTTTGTAAGAGAAAGTCTTATAAAAAATGGACTGCACTTTCCAAAAATGCAAAGGCTTTGGTTGCTTCTGTGGAAGGGTGATAACACTCCTTCCATCTAGAGTGACCTACTCATTAATGTATTTTATTTTTTCTGCCTGTTTGGGGTCAAAGCACATATGCGTTTTAGGGGCAGCTCACACTTCTTATTAGAACACAGATAAATTGTCTACTATACAGAATTCTTAGGAGCTACACTGACAAAACAAAAATGCAATGCTGTGCATACATACATACATAGAACCCCTTGTTACAATCTGCCAGGTCCTCAATCAGTATAGCTGAACAACAAAATTCTTCTTCTAAAACCATGGGAGTCAAGAGAGGTTCTGCTGGTTCAGAAAGCCTCACTTAAAGGAATTACTTTACACAGCGTACTCATATACTTAGAGAGAGACCTGAGCAGATATAATACTTGTATTCACATCTGTATCCACAAAAATGAGATGCGGATATCTATATTGACATTCATGGATGCGGATAACTGCAGATATAATATGCACAGGGCCGGATTAAGGGGGAGGGAGGCTAGCTGGGCAGTTGCCCGGGGCGTCAACATATGGGGGGACCTGATTGCAGCTCTAACGGGTGCCACACGGTCTCTGCCCTCGGGCATGTGGTGCCCCTACAGCTGCAATCAGGTGCCACGCGGCCCCTGCCCCCAGCGCCACTTACAGCCCGGGGGCAGGGGCTGTATGGCACCTGATTACAACTGTATGGGGTGCCGTGCGTTTGCAGGGCAGAGGCCACGCATGCACCACGTGCCCTCTGCCCGGGGTGGAAGAATGGCTCGGGCTGGCACTGAATGTGGATATATGTGGATACAGCATTATTTTAACATAGAACCTCCCAGTGAATATTTCTTGGGTATGGCCTAACCAGCATTGATGTACAGTTTTCATGGGACTTTTTCTCTTTGACAACACAAAGAGAAAAAGAGATACTGTATTTACTCTTGATGAGATTTAGATTATGAATTGAAATACATTGCCCTGAAATTGCTTCCTTGAAACTCGCATGTGGGTATAAGTTTCATATAACAACATGGAGGGATATTAGAAAGACTATCCATCAGCGCCAAATCGTATCCTGGCCTAGCTTCTCTGGCAGAAAATCCAGTTCTATTCTTGTTCATAAGGATTTGAGGATTTGCATTCTACTTGCAGTGTAGAATGAAGCTCTACTGAGGGTTCCTGTATTCAGAGAGTGGGGCAAAGCTGCATGAAAGTATGGTGTAGGATGCACTGCTTTATGCATCCTCCTCTGTGGAAGGGCTAAGTAAGGACTGTGGGACATACTGCAGTCACAGCCCTTTTGGAGACTGAAGGGGAAGGTTTATCCTACTCATTCCCCATGTTTCTCCAGTGCATGGCCCGACTACCTGGGTTTAGGATTTGCCCTTAAAATGTGGAACATAGACATCAAAAAAGCAAGCAATCAGACTTACCCATAACAGAAAAAGTTATTCAATCTGATCTGCTTTCCAACCAAGTATGAGAAAAAAAAGACTTCATAAAATGAAATGTGAAAATCAATTTTACAGCACTCAGAGATTACATAATACATTTATTGTTTTATAAGACCTGTACATTCTGAAATCTTGTAATCTTAGCTTTCTGTGGCCATGAACTGTCACTAAAGAGACTTCTACTTCAATCATTTTCTTCTAAACTTCTAATTTCCCTAGAATTAAGGGGTTTTATCATTCAGGTTTTCCACACTGCTTCTAGACCTAAACAGGCCAAAGAGAAAAATATATATATTTAATCCTGCATGTATTATTGCTAATGCAGTGGTTTTCAGGTTCTTTACAAAATACACGCTTCTGAGCTTTTCAATAGTTATGTCTCAAATGGTGTTTCAGGATTTTAAAAAAATGATTATATACTAAAATATGATAATACTTGCTCAAATTCTGCAGGAGAATTGATCACTCATTTTGAGACATGATGGAATTTTCCTGTGCAGGATACCAGCAGATATTTTGAGTTCACTGTCAGCTGGAGAAGTGAGACCTATAGGAAGTAAGGGTAGTTACAGAGGAGATGACAGCCTGCGTGGACCCCTGGGCAAGGTGGGAGGGGGGCTTCATGCTCCCAGGAGGGACAGGTCCTCAGAAGGAGCAGTGTTGGAGGCAGCCAGTCCTCCATGCTGTCCGGTGCACAGCATGCCCCCCAGCCTTCAGGACTGCCAGGAGCATGCGGCGTGGTACTTCAGCAGCAATTTAAAGGGCGCAGGGCTCTGGCCACCACTGTGGTAGTAGCATCAGCAGTTGGGAATCCACAGCCCCTTTGAATTGTTAGGGCCGAGGACAACTACCCTTTTTGCACCCATCAGCGGGCCTGGGTAGATACCTTTAGGACTAACTGTCTATAGGCTGTATCATTTTCATCTAATTTCAAGGATTAGAACACTGACAGATATTGGTCCTTCCCATTTGCTTTTTCTGGAGGATTCAAAAGTTTTCACCCCATCTGACTGTCAAATGAGAGGACTGCCTGAATGCTGTCTCAAGTGCATACATTTTCTGTTGCATTGGTACACTAATAGAACTTTGCTCACACACAATGTCCCATTCAAAAAGTTCATTTACAAAATATAACTTGCTAATAATTTTACAAAAATGAAAACTGAGTTACATTCTTCATTTATTTGCTCGAGGTTACACTGGAAACCAGTTTCTCAGAAGTCTTGGCTATCAGTCTTGTGCTCTTCAGAACAGGATAAGCACACCCTGCCCACAGTGAGCATGTGAATAACTGCAGAAGGAAATAACTATGAAATAACTGAAATAAAATTCAGAAGAGAATAAATGGACTAACCTGGTGTTACTGCCATGCCATTTCCATTGACCACAGGTCTTTCTTCCTCTTCCTCTTCTGGTGGTTCAATACCAGTCCTCTCCATATTGCTCACTGATTTATTCCTCTTACGTTTGCCTTCAGCGCTAGGTGTGGCACCTGGAAGGATCTGGTCTGTCACATTTAACAATAATGGAGCTGGTTCTGCTGGAGGCTTTGGAGTGCCGTAGTAGTTGTCTGCAAATCAAATCAGCAGGACTAGAGTTAAATTCTTAAGAACATCTTTTTAATTAGGGGTATGTCTAGACTACACGGCTCCCTTGATGGAGCCATGTAGTCTAGACACACCCTATGAGAAACTATTGATACTATATGACACTGGGCTAGTTTCACCTCCCCCTTTTCAAAGTTTGTACAAAACACTGTCTGTGAAGTTAAAATTTCATTTTATGAAATACAGTAAAACTCCAATAGTCGGCATCCAATAGTCCGGCACTCCTTGATAGTCTGGCATCAAAATGGCAAGAGCCTAGTGAGTGAGCTTCAGCAAAAAATGAGTCACAAGGTAACAGCAGCAGCAGCTGAACTGAGCAAAAACGGTAAAAAAGGCTTAAAAAACCTAAAATATTACAGTATACTGTATACAGTATGTATAATAAAAAGGGTTAAGAACACTTTATATACAGTATATAATGTATACAGTATATATATATAACCAGCTTATAGTACCTCCTGATAGTCCGTCATATCTGATAATCCGGCACTACCTAGGTCCCATAGGTTCTGGATTATCGGAAGTCTACCGTAGTAATTGATTTTTTTAGAGGTAGGCCAAACCAATTTCACCACGTTGTATACTATGAAATAGGAGACTGAAGACTTGAAGGGACTAAAAGTGGAGTTATTGGCTATCCACCATGGCAAATGCATTCTGCATCATATCACACCACGCTTATCACAAAAAATTTCCAATGTTCATCTATAGGCAGATAATGCAAGCATATAAAACTTTAATAATGCTTCCAGTCCATTTCCATATTTCCTATATTATTCAACATTTTTACTGTTCATGAACATGCAACCAGGCTTATACTAATATACTCTGGAAGATAAATGAAACCTCATGTTTTGTGGTTTAAGCTAATCTCAAACAATTATGGATTTGAAGAACTAATGTGGTGAAGGGAGAAATTATCTCACATCTGCTTAACATGAATTTACTGTCACCTTTAAATCATCTTATGTGTGCAATTGTCAGAGATAGATGGTTGGACTAGATGGGATACAGAGATCATGGGGTAATGAGAATTTCTTTGTTCTTATGTTTTTATACACCTCAAGGCTAGCAGAATCCTATAATACCCACAACTCTGTTTCCTTTATTAGCAGCCACAAATATGGTTAAGAAAAGCCTATGTATGAATTCAGTTCAGAAACAAAACAGAAAACAGTGACACCAAAAGCCTCCTAATACACAAGAATTAAATTTACATCCTCAACATAAAGCCATATTTTTTCATACCAAAGTTACATTTTGTGCAGTCACTTATAAACAGCCTGGTAAAGATGTACATGCTGAGTATACTGTGAAGATGACACCTCACAATAACTAGATTTTCAGCAGAGCGCATGGTTAATTGGATATACAACTCCTGTTAAAAATACTGCCCAGTTTACATGGATCTAAGAAATTTTCCAGAAGACAAAGCATGAACAGTAAGGATATACAATGTTATCACTAGGATAGACAATGTTATTACCGGAACACTTGTGATTTGCTTAAGAAATTCTTAGGACAAGTCATATAACCTTTTTACAGTTTTTCTCCCAATATTGCTTCTGCATGATCTAATGCCTGTAGCACTTTTAAAATATATTCTCACCTTCAAATGTGCCACATACAGATAAAGAAATGTATCTTGATCAGTAAAACATCATTAAACAGTATAGAGATTGTTCTAGGATCAGTATTGCTGTGTGTGTTTTCTAACTCAGTACAATGTTAACTCATGAGATCACCTCAGTTCAGATAAGTAATTAAGTATTCTAACAACTAGTGAAAGCTTTATGTATTTTCACAGTGATTAATACAATATTATTCAGAATAGATGTTTCTGTAATTGTGATACAGTAGAAAAATTTATTGTATTTAATGTCCCTCAGACTCACACTGGAGTTAAAATCACAAAAGGGTAGGACTGGAAGGGATCTCAAGAGGTTATCTAGTCCAGTTCCCTGAACTCAAAATAGGAGATGCACTCCATTTCTGACAGGTGTTTGTCTAACCTGTTCTTAAAAACCTCCAATGATGGAAATTCCACAACCTCTTCAGGCAATTTGTTCCAGTATTTAATCATATTGCCTCTATATAGAGTCATGGTATGCCCACATCTTGAATACTGCATGCAGATCTGGTTGCCCAATCTAAAAAAGATATATTGGATTTGGAAAAGGTACAGAAAAGGGCAACAGAAGTGATTAGTGGGTACAGAACAGAGGAAAGATTTTAAAAGATTGGTACTTTTCAACTTGGAAAATAAATTATTATGTTAAAGGTCTAGAAATGTTATTTACTCCTTCACTAACATAACACAAGAAGTTCATCCAACGAAATTCATAGGCAGCATATTTAAAACAAATAAAAGACACGGTCAACCTATGGAACACCTGGCCAGGGGATGGTGGAAAACCCCAAACTATGACAGGGTTCCAATAAGAATGAAATACATTTTAAGAGGATGTCCATCAATGGCTACTACATTTTAAGATGATAATTCCATCAAAGGATGGGCAATGTTGTGACTAGCCTCTGTTTGCCAAAAGTTGGCAATGGGTGACTGGGGATGGGTCATTTGATGATTGCCTCCTCTGTTCATTCCTTCTGAAGCACTTAGCATTGGCCACTGCTGGAAGATAGGATACTGGGTTAGGTGGTTCATTGGTCTGACAGTATGGCCATTCTGATGTTCTTATATAGAACCCAAATATATCTGCCCCTTGCTGTAACCCACTAGAAACCACTCCCCTTCCAGAGCTGACAGAGTCCAAGAGTCTTGATAGTGTCTCTCTCCCTGCAGAGTTAGTAAGGAAGTAAAAATATACATTAAAATTTTAAGGCTAACCAGTGTCTATTTAAGTGATGTGCTACAAGATATCAGAATATGTTATCATTAGAGCTGTGTGTTTCTAAAATTTAATTTTCTTTCTTTTTATATAGGGCTTAGATACAGTGCTCCTATCAGTTAACTGCTCAGATATCTGCCAAAAAACTTGAGTTTTCAAGTGCCTCAGTAGCCTCTGGAAAGAGATGATATGTGTTTGTGGAAGGGTTGATAGGGTCACTCTCCCTCCTGATTTGTTGTTTGGCTTGTAGTAAGCATGTTCAGTAACACTGCTGAAGCCATTGTCTTTAGTCTGTCCTCACATGTCCTCACTTTGCCCCAACACCCACTATCATGGCATGCACAGGCTGCATCCCCTACACCAAAATCTGACAAGCAGTCTAGACAATAAATGAATGTCTCTATGTTTCCAACTATCAGTGCTATTTTGAGAAACAAGGTGGGTGAGGTAATATCTTTTATTGGACCAACTTCTGTTGGTGAGAGAGGGAAACCAGCTTTCAAGCCACACAGACTTTTCTTCAAGTGTGGGTAAGGTTCTCCCAGTCACAGCCAAATTCAAGACGGCACAGGTTGTTTAATATAAGAAGTTAACACATATTTTAAGGGACCATTCAAGGTAGAGAAGCCTGTTATCACCCCATCAGTCACAGACAAAAATGGTGGGGGGGCTACTGGGTTACAGATTGTTGTAATAAGTCATAAATCCAGCATCTCTGTTCAGTCCATGATGTTTAGGGTCCAGTAAAGTTATGAATTTAAGCTTCCAGGCTCATCTTTGGAAAGTGTTGTGCAGATTTCCATTGAGGATAAGAACTGAGAGGTCAGATACAGAGTGATTGCTTTGTGAAGAGCGTGTTTTTGACTTTTTCCTGTGTGAGCTAATTTGAGAGCATAATGCTTGGCTGGGTTCACCTACCTAACTGTTACTGGGGCATTTAGTGCACTGCATGAAGTATACCACATGGGTCGACATTGCTACAACTGCACTGCATACAAAATGTCTTAATCTGAAAAAAGTCATGAATGATAATATTAAATTAGAGAGATGCTCAGAATCTTTGGAGGAACAGATGCAGGATAAAACATTAGAATTCTATGGCTATTGAAAAATAAAAGCACAAAGTTCCTGTCATTTTAGATCACTGCTCATACTCTCTTGGACTTCACTATAGGGAGGATTCGCTAGATTATACATTAAGCAAATATACAAGATTCATTAGAGAACAGCCAAGACCAAAAAAAAATTAAAAAAATAAAAAAAAATTCAGAAGGCTTAATCCTGTTCTGAAGATAGCTTTTCAGACCATAATCCTCATGTGATACGAGGAAGAAATAAGGACAAAGAAATCTATTTTTTTCCTGATGGTTTAGCAATTTGAGCTAGGCTTAAAAAAATCAGTATAATAAAGAAAACATTCAGGAGTAGATGCCTTTTTCGTTTCCTGCCAGGCTCAGAGACATGACTAAGAGTGAGTCTAGGCAGTGCCCTTCTGTTGGAATAAGCTACACAATTTGCAAATTGCGTAGCTTATTTCACGCCTAAATCGAAAGAGCTTATTTTGAAATTTGGCACAGTCTACACAGCACCAAATTTCAAAATAAGGCACTATTCCAACAAAACTCTTAACTCTCATGGAACAAGGGTTACAGGGATTCCGGAATGGCACAGCATTTTTCAACTTTTTCAGCATTTTTCAGGAAAAAGCGGGAGCTTTTAAAGATGTAGCATTGCTATTTCAGGATACTTCCGGTATCCCAAAAGAGCAACGGAGTCTAGACATACCCTAAGAATGAAACTATTTTTGGAAACTGGGAAGAAGAAGAATCATTACAGCAAAATATAAAAGAAAGCCACTGAGAAATTAGGAAATTATAACCAGACTAAACAATTGTGGAGAAAAGAGGTACTGAGACCAAGTGAAAAGCCCAGATACAAAGGCCCCCAAATGTTGGGCTGATACAGACTGTCAACCCTGAATCAGATCAAAATTACTCATCGGAACCTCATCTTTAGAGTGGAATGAGTCAAAATCTGAGAAATAAATGTTCCAAAGGTTCTGTTTGTTCAGAATCACAATTTGAAACACTTAAACAAGATAACGTGAGTCTTGG